AATTCAAAATATATAATTCCTAATAATAATTTCATATCATTATTATATATATTAAATATAATCAAAAATAAATAATCGAATATTCAATTAATATACAAAATAATGATCCAAATAAATATAATTCAATTTCGTAAATAATCATAACATTAATTTATTAAAGCAAATTATCAATCCTCCCAATAAGGTGTATATGTGTTGTAGAATATTTTATTGTTATATGTAAATCAATATCGTGCTTGATTTTGTGGTTGTTTTATTGCATGGCGGTTCTCAATCGATCTATTTCATCATTGATGAGTGCATTCCGAATCATCTGAATAACAAATTCTATAGAAGGGCCCAGGTAACCGTTATTGATGATCCTGGTGCACCAAAATGTACGAAATTCCGGCGGCAATTGTTCTCAAAGCGCCAAGTTAAGCTGAAATGTCAGGCCTATCAAGCAATACGGCAATACGTAATTTTTTAATATGTTGCTTTGCAAATCCAAAATATATGATAACCATATGATAACCTAGCAAAAGTTGCATTTGGGCTAAAAAGATTTCCTTCCTAAATGTCCTCCCTCCCAGCACCACTGCGGCTCCTCATCGGTAGCTTGCTTCGCCACAGAAGGGCCATATCAACCAATGACTTGTTGGACGCATGTACCTCCTGGTGCACTCCACCGAAGGCGCCGGCACTCCAGCCCCGCTTGAGCGTCCACATCGTCTGGGGTATTGATTGAGCGTCCACATGTCTGTCTCCTTCTTGTTCCTAGTAAGGCCAGGAGCCCCTAGTAGCTTCTTGTTCCTAGTAGCGATGCCAGGAGCCCCTAGTAGCTACGTCATTATTCGACCTACATTCCATTCCCGAGTCAAACTGGAACCCGAATGTTATATATATCAGGACCAGATCTGCAAACAAACATGTTCACCAAAAACAGAAGCCACTGCCAAACCCGGAAAGCTTGAACTGATCAGTGACTTTGGTTCTAGTTTAGTTCTAGCCTGCTTTGTGCTGGTGATTCTGATCTTGCGGTTCAACTCTGGTCCCACCACAAGTCGGCTTCAACGAAGACTTCGTACTCCGAGCCTTTCGCCGAAACGACCGCACCAGGGAGGGACAAATGGATCGACCTTGCAGAACCCGGCCCATCCTGAACACCAGGTGTAGGGCGTAGGTACTTCTGCAGGTAACTGCCTTCGGTTCTTAGAGAACGGTCATCTGGGGTGGTAGATACATTCGGCCATGAACTTGCGGAAGCTTTCACTCCAGCTTGCCTGCGAACCACAGAGTTTCAATACTTTGGGGAGGGTTCATACACATCTCCAGGACTCCAGCCTCCGTTGTATGGATAAATATGGACAAATTGAATTGTCCTCTAATACCGAGGTGAAACCAACTTTCACGTTTTGTTTAGCCACACTACGACCTATCATTCAAGTGGAAGATCCAATTCTTTCCCATCCGACCAACTGAAGCTCTGTCTGTGCATCCGTCCAAGCCGGAGAAGCTTTCATCGTGCTCCAGGTATGGCAGCTTCGGCACTGCCAGCAACTCGCTGTCCTGCGAAGCCGCAGCGACACAGTTCACCGTTCGGGGGTTTCTCCAACCAGTCGACACAGAAAGCTGTTCCTCTGAAAAGACATGATACAAACAACATCAGATTGCGGACTTTGTGTGCGTCTTTTTTGCTGAAGATATATAATATACAGGGTCACCATGCCCCAACATCCATCAGTTTCTCGAAACATTCCCTTGGGCCTTTGAAGATCTTCAAAACGAGCGGCCGCAAGATCTTGAAGGCTTGGTAAGCCCGGCCTACTTGCGGTCCTTGGTCCTTGCCTATGTGAATCGAAACACCAGGGCCTCATTTCAAACACCAGGGCCATCACGTTGATGTCCTTTTGCAAAAAAACAACCACAAAATACCAAAATACAAAAACCACTCCTGCAGTTTCCTGGTTACATCATGTTACATCTGGTTACCAAGCTTGGGTGGCTACTGACCAAAGTGTTGACATGTATTGACTAAACTCCCCCTATGGCTGGAGACGTCTGGATACAGGTTCCATGATTCAGCAGTCAGCATTGAGTCAGCATCCAACAAAGTTATTCTGTCTAGCTCCTAAGAACTCATCCCTCACCGCACCCGCAATTGACCCGATATATACTTGCCGTCCTTCACCGTGAAAATCCAGCGGTGATGCAGCGACCCTCGGTATCTCCGAGACAGACCCGACAAACCTCGGGGGCCAGCGGGCATGCGGGTGCGCAATTACACGTCTAAAGACATTTTAAAATTAGATTATGGATTCGTCTCCATTGCACTCCCAAAATGTATCTTCCTCTCCCACCTTCATATCCTCCGGTCTACACCCCACTCGCTTCCAAGGAGCTGTTCAAGTCCATGTCGACCCGCGCGAACTCGTCATACTTGGACGGGACCATGACCAAACCTCAGAAGTTTTGGCCACGAATCTTTGGATTCGGATTTTAGGCTGCCCCCTGATATCGCCACCGCCCAGTAGTCTGATTCAAGCTGATTTTCATGTATCAGGACCAAGCTCTTGGTCCAAAAAGTAGCTGCCAAAAAGTAGCTCTTGGCTGCCATGGGGGCTAGTAAACTTCAGTGCTGAGGGTTCAGGTCAGCATATTGGTTGAGAGAATCCATCGGTTTTTCACATGTTTTCATACCACTTGCCGGCTCTTTGCCTTTCAACGTCGGCGCACAGTCCACTGGTGCTGGCACATGGGTGGCCCGCCTCCGCCGTGCTTGGAGTGGGCGCCTTGGCCAAGAACCTCCCACGTCGCATGGCTCGGTGTGCCCATTCGGTGTCCGATCCAGTGCTCCCTCCAACACATCCGAACCCAAACACTCCATGTATGGAATATATGCCGATCAGGCCAACGGTGGTGCCAGGGGGGTGAATGGGGCAGCAGCATACGTATATATGGCAGTCCCATGGTACGTCTGGGGAATGCACTCCCAAGCCCACCGGCGCGGTCTGTTTTTGGGTTGGTGCTTTGAGCCGTGAGGTCTTTCTGGGGCGCCCATCAACCGCTCGGGCCCCTCCAAAACGAAACAACAAACCCCTCCTTCATCCACGGCACCGGCCGTGGCCACGCGAGGAAGCAGCCGCACCACCACGGAAGGATCGGTGACATCTTCCAAGAGATGCGAGGTCAGGACCTCGAAGTCGTCATCTCCGCGCTGCGCCGAGAGTGTTCCGCGCGATGTGTTTCACGGGCGGGTTCGTGTCGCACGCGGCGCAGGACACCACGGTAGCGCCGCTCGTTCCGCTCGCTGGCTTCAGACCACGTAGAGCAGGGGGTGAATCGGAACCAGGTTCAGATGATGGGATGGGTGTTTGGCGGTTTTGGACGATTCGGTGGGATGGTCATGGTTTCTTCCTTTTGTTGACATGTAGTACCCCAAGTAGTGGACCCCTCCTAGAGTAAAGACGATGAGCCAGCTGGTCAGGTCCTGCTTTCATTTTATGATTCCGTTGGACCGTTCAATGACTGACGATCAACTGCTGTGTATGATTCATATCCTCCAAAAGTCAACAGAAAGGAACAACCTGACGACGTAGTCAAAGGCCAGTGTTCATCCAGACTGTGGGGCCCAGCTTGGACCCACAAGCTGGTTCAAGGCGAAGTCCGAACAAACCACCCGACCACAAGCTGCTCCCTCCACTGATTTAGCCCTCAGGCACCAAGACGATCCTAAATGGCCGAGAATCAGTCCTGAGGCACTGAGGGGCAGTGTTCATGCTGAGGCCCATCGGGTGCATTCTGAGGCCCATCGGGTGCATTCTGAGGCCCATCGGGTGCATTATCGGGTGCATATCTGTGCATTGGGGCTTCTGAACACATGGGCACAACGACTTTCGACCAAAGGGGCGGGCCCTTTTCCTCTTCTCTTTTGGATGAGTGGAAAAGTATGAAAAGAACACATGTACGCTTCCAAAATCTCCCAAAATATTTGCCCCATGGTATCAGGAGAGTCTCCTTCTTTACATTTTCTCAACCCAGCTTCTTTCACCGAAATCATCCGAAATATATGCTCGTTGAGAGGCCAAGTCGAACTTCCCCACCGTGTCCACGAAAGCCATAAGCTTCGCCTGCAAAAACCATTGCGCGGAGCGATGTTTAGGGGGCAGGTGGGGCAGGACTTCAGCATGGTGTCACCAACTTTAGTCACCTCAGGTGACTGGAAATGATGCTAATCCGCATCAAAAGGGGCCCGATTCGAGCTCGGGTCACGTCCTGAAACATCCTGAAACATCCTGGTGGAAGTGGAGTGATGGTTGGCACCGTTTTCACCCTGTTTGTAGAGGATTTCATGGTCATCCTAACTGGCCATGCCATCCACCCAGGCCCATGATTACTGAGATTGCACGTGACCATGATTCTTCCAGGGAGTGTATACAGAGCGGCTATCAATGAAGGGAGGTGAAATCCTCTTAGAGTGACCGGGTGCTGTGTTCAACCACAAATCGACAGGTCCGACGTCTCGGTTACACAGCACATGGTGCGAACCCGTCGTTCCACGATGCCCGGGACGCGAGCAAAGCAACGATGCCCGGGGGCGAACCGTGCAGCCAGCGGTACCCTTTTCATGGACGTACCTGGTATCAAGCGTATCAAGTGAGCAAGGGCTGGAGACACTGGACCTAATTGTATGGTAATGGTATGTCAATGGTGCTTAGTTGCTTCTCCCTCGTTGAGTCATCTTCTCATAACGTCTAACAACCCTCGAGGACCTCTTTTTGGAATATGTATTTTTGCTTCACATGATCTCCTTTCGGGGCAGAATATGCCTGTTGCGTCTCGGCCAGATTCCCTGTCAAGCAGCCCAGCCCTCACCAAGCGCATCAGTGACATCTCCGTCGATCATCGCAACAAACACCGGCTCCTGCGGGGTTGGAACCGGCTCGTCCGCGGGAGATGAACCATGATGTCTGGGTTCTGAGGAAAAGCCAAGAAACCCATGGTCTTCCTATATGGATGAGTGATGACCCAAACACTCCATGGGACTGCCATAAATGCCGATCAGTTGGGGTGGTGCCAGGGGGTCAATGTAGGTATATATGGCATACATGGAGTGTCTGGGTGATGAGGAACTTGAGGATCTGATTCCCACTTTGGCTTTGATCGAGAATTGTTTGTCAGTCAGCAGCAGTGGGAACTCAGCGGCCTGTTTCAGCATCGCACGTTGAAGGCACATGGAACATGTTTAGGGGCAACCGCAAGGTCTCTGACCTGTCAATCCAAAACAATGGTAGCTGTCAAGGCTGCGGTGTAAACAGTCTACACTCCAGGGGGAACAATTTAATATCGATGGCTGTTGGGACGTACGAGCACCCCGCTGGTCTTGGTGAAGATGAATATCATGATTTAATATAGATTAACATCTATTGTGGGTACATGTGGGTACCTCCTGCATTCACCAGGACAATATAAAATACTTATATAATCAAGGTCTGCAGCCGTCGGACGCTTGCTTGATGCACACCGTCAGCCGTCTTCGACTGCGATTGGACGTGTGTTTTTTTCGCCAATACCCGGAGAGCCCCGGAGAGCAGAAAACCAATTGAACCCAAGTTGTTGGACCTCTCTACTTGACAAAAGGGGATAGCGAACGTACCAGGGGTGGACACAATAAACTCGTGCCTCTCCACGACAGCATCGCTCACGGGTGTAGAGGCTGTCAAAGCCTTGACTTTTCACAATGAGTGGAGAACGCGGGAAATGGATGGCTCAAAGCGCTGTAGGGAACCTTCTCTCAAAAAGGCTTGATATTCCCTGGTGTACTTTTTGGCAGCCTCGGGTTTTTGTCTAGGTGCCAGTTCTCACGCGAGAAAAACCCCAAGACGACGGGCAAAAGAGCTTCTTCTTTTTGATGGATGGGATGGGGAGATCTGGCGTTTCGTGACCAAAAACCGTGATAAAACTTTGGACTTTGAATCTGACTTCTTGGGCGGATCTGCAGTTTCTCTCAACAGTGACGGGCAAAGGAGATGAGACACCTGTGCACGACACAGGCCCACGGCATCTCAATAAGATGTGGTGAATCCCAAGTACCCGTTTAAGGACGCGAGGGTCCAGTCGTACCGAACCTGAGGTTCGGTGGCAGTGGATCCCTAGGAGTTGATTCTGCATCGACAGGCTTGATGGCAGATGTTCTCTGAAAAACTTCTATCTGACAGCCAAGGTAAAGGCCAAGCCCTAAAGGTTATACATAGGTTTGTCATTTTGATATGCCTAAAGGGGGCCCGATTCATTAAACAAGAACACACAAGGCAAGACTTGGATAGACTTTGGCAACAAGCTAACCCAAAATATGAATGAACACGGCTTTGAGTACGCCGGCTCAGGTTGGAACCTCTGACACTTACAGTTTCATCTAATCATTGGCCTGTTTTCAGATGTCTCCCAAAATACCCAAATCCAATGGCCAACCCAACCCGCAACTGTAACCAACGGCCAGGTCACAGTCGTCATCTTTGGACGAACAACACCTGCGGCCGCGGGGGAGAAAGGAGACGAACAAACTGATCAGTTGGGCCAAGGTAAGCAATGACAGACATGGAGTGTCTGGGTGATGGAATGTGTCGGGGTGTTGGAATGAACTCGGACCTCACAACTCAAGCATCTTCTGTTGATTCTTCATCTCCAAAACGGTCAGGAACATATCGATTGAACAAGGGGACCATGCCGGACAAATCTTCGATACTTCCCGGGAGTAGGGGGCCAAAATGGGCCAAGTGTGCTCTAAACGGATCTTTATGATTTTCGTAATCTTCGGGACAAGCAACATGAATTTGGTGGAGCGCATGCCTGTGGGTTTTGCCTCCAGAAATTGCGATGATAATCTGATGGTGTCCAAAAGCCAGTACAATACTGTTTTAGGTTAGAATTGGTGAAGGGTTGCTGACAACATGTCCATCCCAGTCTGTAATCAATCCCAGAGTTGTTGTGTTTTATGGACTCACATATAAACAGTTGGGGATTGAGAGGGATTGGTCGCTCACTTGATCAGCATCTCAGGAGCCATGTCAAAAGCCTCGTGGCAATCCCTGTAATGGTCGATACATCTTGGGGATTCAATTTTGGGTCTTGATTTGTAAACCTGTGCATTCATTATTCCGCTCCATCCCCCAAAGCGATTCACAAAAAACAATCCACGGGTGCTTGTGGACAAATCCAGTGAACAATTGTTTGGGGCAATGATTTGGATGAGTTTTCAATCAGAGTATTCAAAAAACGGTACTTTTTTGGATCAAAGATCCAGAAATCAAACAAGACCTCAGAGGCTAAGCAAGGATCTCAAAGGAAACCAATAGCTGAACAATAGAAAACTTAGCTCAGAAAGCTTTGCGGGCTGAACATATTCCAATGATCACCAAAACAATTAATATCATATATATATAACCCCTGGGTGCTTGTGGAGTGCCCCTTTGCAGCATTGTTTCGAGTAATTAATGAATTGGATGATGAACAAAAATGCAGGTCAGCCTTAGTCCCTTGCATTCGATGGTGTTGGTGGCGGTTACAAGCGCTTAACCAAAATCACAACTGGAAGGACAAACAAATAAACAATGCATTCTGTGAGAAACATATCCCGGACACTCCATGTCTGTCATATATATGCTTACATTGACCCCCCAAACCACCCCAATATGGCAGTCCCATGGAGCGTCTGGGTTATACTCTTCGAAACCCAAGGTGTCAAGGGTTGCCAAAACTGTTTTTTGTCGCGAAGCCTTTGGATATAATTCGGATCCATGTGACCAAACTGGTGGCTCCGTCGACTCGATGTGGGCGTTCGCGGGCGTTTCGCGTGGCTTCGCATGCCTTCTCCCGCGCGTGTGCAGTTCCGCAGTCGAGAAGCCTCAGAAGACGAGGCAAACTGGGGAAACTGGGCCGTCAACCATGCGTCCAAGATGGATAGAACAGCAAATCTCCTCTAAAACGGGATGTTTCAAGACCAGGCTCCGGGCCCTGAATTCGATACCTTGGGCCCTAAATTGAGCAGCTGTACAAGCGGTACGTGTCATACCCTGCATTACCCTGGCAGCTGTACAAAATACAAACAAATGGATGAACTATGATGAAACATGATGAAATCACACTAGTTTGGGTCCAAAAAGATGATATCACCATTGGCATCCATTTGCACATTGACACCAATGCATTGGCTTGGAGGCCCCACTGAAGACCCAAGAAGACCATCTGAAGGTGGACCTTCTACCATTCCTTGGACCGCAACACACTCATGAGTTCTTTTCTTCCTATCACTGAATTCCACTGGTTATCACTGAACGTCATTCCAAACCATGCAAACCATGCGCCCCCTCAGCCCCTTGGGCCCAAGAACCTCGGCAAAAACTAAAATAACGGACGCATCAAATAAAGGATCATAAGGGATCTATATCCAGCTACAGCTACTGCATGCCACTGCATTATATCCAGCGTGCCGCCAGATCACAGGGCGGATAGTTGGTGGCCTGGTAGTCGAAGATGGCATCCACCACGCCGCTGTGGATGCTCCAAGGGTTGCCCACCGCGCCAATGTCCAAGACCCGAAAAGTGGGATGGCCCTGTCGGATCTGCCTGTCAGAACGACGTCCGTCGCCTTCGGGATACGTCGGGAGTCGGCTCTGGGAGAAGACGCGCCAGCGGTAGGACCATAGAAGCGGTATGACTGACCCCTTGAAACCAGTGGGGCCCCAGTCCCGCTGGTTTCGGCGAAACGAAGGTATGACTAGTCTGCCCTAGAGGGGATGAGATCTGAAGTTGCAAAAGCTGGAGAGTGAACATTGTTTTCAGATCGACGGATGTCTTGCCAGAAGCGCCTCTTTGCCAGAACATGGTGCCACTCTCAGTAGATGAAGCTTGCATGTTACCCATTTAAGTTTCAAAATCGTTATATAGGCAAACACATGCAAACACCATGGCAATAGTCATAGTTCCTGGAAACTCCTCATCTTTACCAATCACCACCCTAAACCCTAAACCCCCTTCGTCAACGCTGCGGTCACACCGCCTGATGAACGAGATCATGGGGCAGCGGCTGCGGTCCGTCAGTGCCACATGCTGAATGCCCGGTCCCTCCGGCTCGGTCGCGCTCGCGAGCCACCTGGAGCGGTCGGCCGTTCGGATGGAGGAGTGAGAGAAGTTTCAAATGAGAGGTGGACCTGGTCAATCTTTCTGCACATGTGGTTGATGGGGTAGGAATATACATTATTATTCTTTAAGGACTCATAGTTTAGTTCATAAGTTCATAGGGCAAGATATGGTTGTCACACCTCGGAAGGCAAAGGTGTTTGCAGGTGTTTGCTAAAAACTCATCAAACAAACAGCTCGCAGGTCGTGGAATCCGCCAAGGTCGCAGATTCCAAAAAACTGGGTCATTTTGCCTCACGAAAAGAGGTTGACAAAAACACGTCTGACACACTTGCATTTGTTGGGGTGGATTCCTTGCACCTCTTAAATTTGCCTTCATCCCTGATCACCCCAAAAACCCTGGCAGGCACCCCCGTGGGACACCGGCACACCGGCACACCGTACTCGGTGCCGGCGTGACCAGCCTGCCTGCTTCTCTTGAATCTCGCAGCCACCCGCAAAAAAGGTATGGGTTTTGAAACGAACAAGGATATATATATATATATTAATATATTCAGGACCAGATCTAGATGGATGAAATGAGGCAACACACCCCTACCAAGTCACGTCCATGGATGGCCTGACTCGATTTCCGAACCAAGCTCCATGGAGCGACGGGCGGATATCTTCCACTTCTATGACTTTGGTGAAAACCCTCCGATTCTGACACCAAGTGGCGCATTCCACCATGGACCCATCTCGTCGGACCTGTAAAGCAGCGTCGGGAGGGCCCAGGTAGGGCGGAACCGAAAGGCTTGTGGTACATACTAGGGTTCAGGCATTTGGGTTTCTACGGCCACTTATTTGACGGAATTTATTTAATATGCTTCCTCCAAAAGGAACACAAACCAAATTTAACTGGTTCCTCTTCTTCAGATTTGGCAAGTATGTGTCCGACAACCCACCTCGGATCAGTTTTCCGGAGGCAGTTAGCGATATAATTCCCGCTGTACAACTGAGAATCCCAAGGTTAAACTTATTAAGAGGTTCACTTGTCTTGCCTAGTTCGCCGTTGAGTGCAAGAATAGACCGTAGGCTTCCATCCACCATAAATATTGTTTTACCAAACCACAGTTGTTTTACTATAAGGTCTTACACTACGAAAGCAGCTCAACCGTTTTTAACATAGTCGAAGGGACTTCCAGGGTGTGCTATATGTATGAATATCTATCATCTAGATTTTGCTAACAGCAAAGCTAAAAAATGTAGTTCCAAACTGCATGTGAGAAGCTGTAGCCCTTAAGAGCCGGTTGCCCCGGTGCGTGCCCCCAGGCCTGGTAGCTGTACTCGTAGCTATCCAGTTTGGGTGGTGTGTGGGCAGAGACAAATGTTTCGTACAAACAAATGAAAACCAATTTGCACCGCTCCCTAGTCCACAACGAAGTCATCCACATCCAGCTTCCCTCAGACTGAAGCTTTCTATTTATCTGCGTGACCTTTTTCAGCTCAATGAGGAATCATGAGGAATCTACCCCTGAAAACTAACATAGATCTCGAAAACCGCTGGTTCGTAGAGAAAAACCGTCTTTGCGGGTGTCATCTGGGAGGAACTCCCGTGCCGAACTCCGTTCGCGTTGGCCAGTTCGAAGAACAACCCTTCGTGACTCTGGGCTGGTCTTTGGATCCCATCGACCTTGGATATTTGAAGCGATACCACATGAACGACCCTCCAACCCCCTGGTTTTGTAGAACAGAGTTCATCTTTTCACGCATCTGGAGGTGTACTTGCACCACCCCCCATGTGTTGCCATACCCCTAAAAAAGAAAGAGGTACCTGCCACATCACCTTTCATCCCTGTAATGAAGTGCATCCGACTTTCCAGAGGTCTTCACCCGTACAACACGTGCATCGCCTGCACATGATGGCGACGGTGCTGGGCAGGAAAAGCAGGCTCCGCAATCGTCCTAGAAAATCCGTCATGGCGCACAGGTCAGTCAAGCAAGAAAGGCTTCACAGGTCGTCCCCAAATTGACAGAAACTAGAAACGGCATCCAAAACATGTTCTTGAGTGTCTTTACTTAGAAAGTACAGGGAATGCACTTTCTATCCGTATTTGTTGGGGGTGGATTACTCTCTCAGAAAATCATCGTTGAGGAAAGAGTAAACCTGGAAAATAGGTGTGCCGCATCCACTCAAGAGAATTTTATCATTGAGTTTCCTGTGGATCGTCAAAAAACTTGAGCACCTCATAGTGTCCCGGGGGGCGTCAGCACCCTTGATTGAAAGTGCGCGGCCAAGCCGTTCATGTTGACATGATGCTGACAAACACCTTCTTCAAAGCTGGTGTCTTTTTCTATACGGAGATGGAAGCTGAGAGCCAAACGATGTATCGGACAATGATCTTTGTCAGTGAAGGGTAGTTCCAAGATCTCTTATATGTCACGAGGTCCAACCTCATTTGAAGGTGAACACAACCTCTTACCATCTCCGAAATCGGAGACATATTGAGCACATCCTGTTCGTGTGGTGAATGTTCCTGTTCATCTGGTGGCTGCAAAATATCTCAAAACACATGAAAAACACAACAAAAGGGATGGTCGTCTGACTACTGAAGGCTTCACCAAAAGGTTTTCAGAACATATTTGTATTAAGAATCAAGAACATGGATGTGTATCTATAGGAAGTCTTGTGAAACGTTGACATGGCAGCTTATCTAGATCTGCTAAACCAGCAATCTTCTCAATCTGGTCGCCACTCGAAACTCCGGTAACCAGTCGCACTTCTTTCGAGTTCTCCCCAGTTGCTCTCAGTTTCATGGACGTTCCTCAAATGGTAGGACAAGCATTGGTTCTGTATTGAAGAAATACCAAAACAAGTCGAAAATGTCAAAAGAACATAAAAGAACCAAACAACTTCAGTTTCCTTGGAACATTATCTGGACAAGTGACGTAATTAATTCCAGATGATTTCAGTTGTGAGATATTCTGAACAGCAAAAATCAAAGCTGGACTGATCATGTTTGGACATTCCTCTATCCAACAACATGGAAAACTGGCCCCTTGTCTTGAACACCTTTTGACCTCAAGTTGGCTCTCCACCAAAGACGTCCTATGACTGTTGGAGGGTACATTCAGGAACTCTCCTGACACGCACCAGGGCGATTGAGGCCCAAGAACCCTGTGGAAAGGCAAAGGATGGTAAGCTGGAAGCCCAATCCCAACCAGAAACAAATGGATGTCATTATACCAGGCCCCCCTGTTTGGGGTGGTTAATGCACATCCCTTAACCTCTAAGGGGCTCGGCTATCATTAGACACCCCGACAGGGGGGCCCTGATATATTTGCTATTATTTGCTCAACCTTTACTGGAATATGGTTTGCAAGATCAGATTCCTTCGTATTCCTCGCATACTAGAACAACATGGAGCAGTTCTATTCGATCGGAAAGAGCTGCGCAGCAAAGTCATGGCATAAAGCGAAGTTTGTGTATCTATCCGATCCCATAATCCCATAAACCCATGTTGGCTGGCAATTGCCACCCAACACCAACTAAATGCATGTTGTATTGACCGACACGGAGCGGTTGGATGGGGAGCCGGACAGTTTAGGTTCAAACCTTCCAGGACACACTTTTATGTGTTCAGTTCTGTTTATACATGGTGATGGGTCATCTATAGGAAATCATACTGGGGTGAAAAACGTCCCAAACTCTACCCTGCCAAACTTCAACTCTACAACTTGGATTTGTTTAAGGAACAAAACACAGCACAACCCAACAATACCCAACACCGTGCCGAGGGGACCATCGTGTTTTTGGATTTGTTGAAGGAACCTGAAAAAATATTCACCAGAAGGGGATGCTTAAAGTAAAATAAACAAGACCAGGACAAACATGCATCTAAGGCTCTCAACCATCGAGCGAGACAGGAAATAAACACATCCTTTTGACGTGCGAATCGCCGGTTCTAAGACCATTGGCGTGAAGCGATCAATCGCTATACATGGCTATACACTGTACACAGCCGGCCACTTGTCGGTGTTTTTATCCGCCCGTCTTGGGCCGTGAAAGTCACACGCGCCGAGGAACTTGAACGGCACGTTCCTGAAAGACTTGGAAGCACCCCGAACGACAGATCTGGATACACGGGGCACCGCGCCTTTGCAACTTTGTGAGGGTCACACTCTCACTCTCACTCACACACTCACTCACACTCACTCACACTCTCACTCACTCTCACTCACTCTCACTCACACTCACTCTCACTCACTCACACTCACTCAGGTGTTTTATGTTTTTCTGTCCTGTGTTTGAAGTCTGGTGGCCCGACTGGGCCAGACTGGTCTGCAGAGAGTGTGAGTGTGACTTGACGTGTTCTATTTTTTGCTGTCCTGTGTTGTAAAATGTATTAAAATGTTGTGAACATGTGGAATGTGAGCGCACTGAAAGATGAAGGAACTATCATCACTATCGTTTGGGGTACTCTTGTAGTTGTATCAACATCGTCTCTAGCTGCTTTTAGTTTTTGTAGATATTACATGTCTATGTTTTTCTGTCGAGGAACACAAACACAGTGATAGATGTCAAAGATGTCTTCATCATCAAATTTTTTGGATTGTTTGCACGCAGGAGAAAAGAGGAAGGACAAGTCTGTCGTTTTTATCGACAAATTGAACAACAAATAGTTATTCCAGGCCTTGCCTGGGCCTTTCCCTATTCGGAGCGGTCGAACGAAAGGTGAGATCAGAGATGGATGTCTATGGAGCCGAGTACTTCTGGCAAAGTGAAAAAGTCGCACTGAGACTCAGCCAAGTTCACAAGACTGACTGCTCGAGCTTCTTCTGTGCCCTGCAGAGGGTCCAAGATCGTGGTGGTGGCTGAACCATTTGGCGCAAAGGATGCGCAGCGCGTCCCCCAACAAGTAAAGGAATTCATGACTTTCTGTCATGGTTCCGCATGGCACCATCGTGGTGGTGATCACCTTAAGGATCACGTGTTCATCTTTTGTGGTCAATTGCACCGTTTTCTTGCCTAAAAGTGGCACTCGTTGCTCCAACAGCAAATGGGTACATGCTCCGTCGTCGAGATGAGATTTTCTCTCCCGTGAAGCTTGGCCACCCCGAACTCTCCACCTCACATTCACACTCACAACTCTACTCTGACTCTCACTCCCTCTGACTCACTCTCACTCACGCTCTCACCCACCCCTCTCACTCACTCTTTCAGTCACTCTCACACTCACACTCTCGCTCTCACTCTCTCACTCTCACTCTCACACACGCTCACTCTCGCTCTCTCACTCTCACTCACACTCACATTCACACCCACTCTCACTCTCACTCACCCTCGCACTCTCTCTCTCTCTCTCACACTCTCTCACTGACTCTCACTTCCACACTCTCACTCTCATTCTCATTCTCACTCCCACTCTCACTTTTACTCACTCCCACTCTCACTTTCACTCTCACTTTCACTCACACGCTCACTCACTCACCCACGCACTCCCTCCCTTCCTCCCTCCCTCCTCACTCACTCACTCACTCACTCACTCACTCACTCACACACACACACACACTCACACACACTCACACCCACTCACACTCTCACTCTCACTCTCACTTGCACTCACACACTGTCACTTTCACTCTCACTCACTCTCACTTTCACTCTCACTCACTCTCA